AAGCATGATCCGCCATGTACGCCGGCGTGGCGTAGCCAACAGACTTGTCAGCTCGGGAGTACATGTGGCAGAGCTGGTAAGTGATAGTTTCCTTGGCCCGACTACGGCTACGTCCAAGTGGAAAGGTGAAAAGAGACGCAAATACAGCCGACTCCAAAACTAGTCTGCGTGGGACTTCGTTTGCTGGGCATCGCCAACCTAAGCGAAATATGGGGGTGGTTGCCTGCTTTTTTTTCCTTGGACAGATTGGTTGCAGCTTGGCATCGAAGTCATCCACCGTGACTTTTCTTGCAACTAACCTCTTGTCCATGTGCAATACGTGGTAGTGGCAAGGCACTGAAGTGCCCTGGATACCTGCCATGGCCCGCGACTTGCAAGGGAAGGTTCCGAGGCATCTAACGAGCATCTCCCAGCCTTGCTGCGACACGAGGAAGAAGTTCATGTGACTGGGCTGCGCGATGCCATCGCTGGCGACGGTGCCGGGCGGCACCTCTGGAAAATCTTGACCCCCGTAGAACACCGCCAACCCCGTTCCTGCAGTACGCGAGGCGCGACGTCACCAGCATCACCGCGGCTTCAAGCAACGCAATCTGCATACGCGTTGCGCCCGGCGTCTAAGGGGAATTGCCTGTCAAAGCGCAGCTGCAAACCTCGCGTCCAAGCAAAGTGCGCCAAGCACTGGGCTCCATTCCATGGTGAAAGAAGCAGCCCGAAACGCTCTCCCGGCAAACGGTGCAGGCTTTAGCATAAATGTTTCCACGACAAGGCTACCAAAAACTCGACTGCCCGAATCCTGCTCACAAACATTCTCGTGCAGAAATTCTACCAGCAAAATGGTCTGGCGCGCAAACCTTGCCCAACAAACGAAACGCCCCTCCCACGTGCTCCGCTGTGGTCCCAAGAACGGGGGCCCTTCTTGATAATCCAATTAAGCTTGATCTCATCCTCACCACGCGGCGCACCAACCATGCTGGAGTGCCATTTCTTTCCAAGTTTGCCTACGCGAGCCGAATCTGGGGCATATTTCTTTGCCAGCAGCGCCCAAACCCTGCCCGCTAAAAGTCTGGCAAGGCGTCTCTGCCAGCAAAGCACCCTGCCCGGAATGGCAAGAATCTGGCGCAAAATCTGGCGCAGGCTTTCCTGACTACATCATGAGAGTTATAATGTCTCAGAAGCCAGATTGACAGCCGTTCGAAGGTGCTCGTTGGCCATCCTTGAAGATAAAAAAAAAAAAGAGCTTCCAAGGTTTGACCCAAACCCAATGCATCCAGCCGTATCTCTGCCTATCCCCCGTCGTTTTCCTGGTCTTCCCTACAAAAGAGAAAATGCACCATCGCGTTTTACAGGGTGAGCATTCCAGCAAGCAAAGTATGGCCTGCACACGGGGTCGCCGGCGCTGGGCGGCAGCCCTTAAACGCCAACTTCAGTATGCATTCAATCACCTTGTGGCGTCACTCTTGCTCCTAGTTTGTTTGTCTACTTGCGCTTCGATGCGATCTGCTATCGAGCCTGGGCCGGGTCCTTGCCCTTGCCCTTCCCTTTGCCCTTGTCGTCCTTGCCCTGATGCGTACGCCACTCCAGCTACGTCAGCTACGTCAGCGTCTCTCAGACTCCCCAGCCTTGCCCTTGGAGCCGCCAGCCGCACCATCCATCCACAAGCGCGTCTGGTGCCGCTTCCTAGCACAAGACTTGGGCCGACTTCAAAATTCTCAAAACTCAAAATTCTCAAAATTCTCAAAATTCTCAAAATTCTCAAAATTCTCAAAACTCAACACTGCGTTGGCACTGCGTTGGCAGTGCGTTGGCAGTGCGTTGGCAGTGCGTTGGCAGTGCGTTGGCAGTGCGTTGGCTGCGTTCTTTGCAGGGCGCTGTCCCACGATGATGACAAGCTGAGGGCTGTAGCCCGGCTCCATGAGCTTGAAGCCCTGGTCCAGCAGGTTCAGCTCCCGCGTCAGGACCTTCACGAATTGGCCGTCCGAGACGCCATCACCTCTCCCACAAAGACAAAGGAAACAAAGTTTGAAAAAAGTTTGAAAAAAGTTTGAAAAAAGTTTGAAAAAAGGAGTAAAAGGGGTAAAAGGGGTAAAAGGGTGTGTTTTGCTTTACTTCGCATTTGTCAAACCTCCCCAGCTTTCCCATGTCCCTTCGCTTCCGGCATTTTCACAAACGCATGCAGGGAACGGTAGTAGATGATGGTCTTCGGCAGCTTCCCGTTGCACTGCTTCCAGCAGGTCAAAAGGCACTTTGTCATACCTAGGCAACTAGCTGAGGTCAACTTTTGAACAGCAGCAAACCATGTTTACCGCGTCACCAGCCAGCCCCCCAAAAAATCAACGACATGATTGCGTAATCTGTCTGCACTGGCAACACCAGTGTTTTGCCACGTTGCGAAAGCAACGTCAACTTGCTATGTCGTGCCGTGATTCTGAATCAAATGGTTGCACTGCTGGCTCCGAAATTCTCTAGTAAAATCCAAGCCTCTCAAGACTCCACGTAAAGCGTTGCGGTTTGTGCTCTGCAAGGAACATCCGAATGCACGGAACATCGAACTTTCGCTTGCCGTCCGTTATCCCCTTCGGCCCGGCTGCCGGCCAGGTCAACAATGCGCTCCTCGCTCTGGCGCTTTCGCTGCTTCAGTGTGTTCAGCGTGAAGGGGGACTGGCCGCGGATCTCGTGGAAATAGGAGGCCTCAAACTCACCAAAGCTTCCAAACAGGCGAAGTATTGCAATCTTGCCACAGCACCTAGGCGTCTTGGCATCTTGGCATCTTGGCATCTTGCAGGTGCACAAGTGCATCGGAGCCACATAGTTCGAGTCCGTGCTGGCCACCACACCTGCTACGCTGATGCCGGCCACAGCGTGGGTCACATCGGCACCCATGATCATGGTGTCCTGCAGAGAAACAGAGCGAGGCAAAGCGGCGAAAGCGGCGAAAGCGGCGAAAGCGGCGAAAGCGGCAAGCACGCCAAGCCTCCTGTGGCTTCAGCAGCCCGTGCGGCTGCACCAAGGTCACATTGTAGGCGGAGCGAGAAGCGGTCATAGTCAGCGGCACTTTTGGGGTGACTTTGAGCATAATGTTGTTGAATTTCTTCTCTGCATCCTTGGGGGCGAATGGCAATGGAGCCGATGTTCCGCTCTCTGCCACATGTCTTGCCCAGCGACATGGCAGTGACCTTTCAAATTGTGAAACGAACAGCCTTCAAACATAATATTCTGGGCATTTTGGTGTCCATTCCCACTGTGCCCACTGTGCCCACTGTGCCCACTGTGCCTACTGTGCCCACTGTGCCCACTGTGCCCACTGTGCCCACTGTGCCCACTGTGCCCACTGTGCCCACTGTGCCCTTCCCATGTCTGAGTCATGGACAGATATGCCCTTCTTGCAGTTGATGAACTGCGTCACAAATGCGCCGATCTCCGTTTCGGTGATGAGCTTCATGAGCTTGTACAGGTGGTCTGTGATTGCCTGGCGTCGGCTATGTTGGCCTCCTTGATTCTTGTGTGCGAGGTGCAAGGAAAAAACGGTGCGGCAATTCTGATCTTGAGTATTGGCATTGCCTGTTCTGAACTGCGGATAGCACAAGACGAAGCGCCTCACTGTCCTCCAAGAGAACAACCATGAGTTTCAGGTCCTGAAAAGACATTCGCAGGGCTGGCTTCAGCCATTGGAGCCATTGGAGCCATTGGAGCCATTGAGCCATTGGGGTCATTCGCCCGTTGGTCCTTGTGCTTAGCTTGCAGCTGTTTCAAATCTGCACGCAGCGCTTCACCCAGCTTGGGATAGAAGCTCTCACGGCGCTTGATGCCTGAAGTTGAGCAATCCCCCGTCGCCCCAAGTCATCGCAGGTCTCACATCCGAGGTACCCTCGTAGTATGCAGCAAAGGCCTGGAAGTGCTTTGGAGCTATCGCCCGACGCACATGCCGACGCGGCCTTCTCAGGCCACTCGACAAACTTGGGCTGGCCGAAGTTCAGGTTCTTCGACTTTGTCTTATTCACAAACTCCTCTGCCAGCCAGTCGATGTCTCTCCTGAGTTTTCTGAGTTCAACGGTGCACATGCTTGTGCTTGCCATGTCAGTCCAGGGCTGTGAGGTCCGTCCGTGCGTAAAGCACCACATTCCCCAGCTAACCTCACACATTCAATCATTTCACTTCAGCTGATTTCAACTGACTCCAACAGGACGGACCCCGGGGCCAGCACTTGGAACTTGGGCGGCGCCACACTCTTGAAGGTGTTTGAGTAGTTGACGCTGAGATATTCGGACGCGCCTGGGTATGTCCGGATCAAATCGGAATCGAGCAAGCTCACAGCTGAGAACCTGGCCATCCTTGAGTCGTGGCGCCTCCAGGTGCCGGCCAGTCAGGGACAGCATCTGCATGTCCACATCTACCTATGTAGAATATATTTGCAACTCGACTCTCGGCAAAGCCGAGGTCCCTGCGCCCTTCTGCTTCAGAGCTGCGCTGGGGCCTGCACGCGACTCGGTCCGGCCATGAAACGGTAACGCTCCCGCCTAGTTCCTTATTGTTGAGAGCACTGACGATATAGTCACGGCGCTGGGTCGGCGGCATCGCCGTTCGTCGCGTGACCTGCAGAAATGGAAAGCGCACTGTGGTCTTAGGCTGAGCACAAATGTCCGTCAAGCATGTCGTAGATCATAGAACCATAGCCATGGCATGGTTATGTGCAAGTTGCCTCTTGCTGGAACTCTGGTCGGAGTCTGCCAACGGCCAAATTGTGCTCGCCTTGCCAGTTGGGATGTAGGCACGGCGATGCAGCAAGAATCCCCGACTGACGCAATCCATCAAGCCTCCCATGACATAAACGAACTCCATGGGGATACAATTCCGCGGGTTCCCAAGCTGGATGCACGGCAGCTCAGGATACTGCACCCTGATGTTGTGCTTGTGCCAGAAGTAGTCCACCACATTCACCTTCCTGTCGCCCATCTCCGCACAATCAAACTCCACCCGGTTCGCCGGCTTGTCTGTGATGCCGTCAATCTTCTTGCCACTCACTTTCACCTGCAAACCATCAAACCATGACCTGCGCCTCCATTGCAGATTGCGTGATAGAATGGAGTTTGCAACTCGGTAACAAAAGAAGTGATTCTGCGGAAAAACGGGCACTACAAGCTTCATTGAGAGACAAGTCCATCTTCTTCTTTTTTCCGAAGTGACCCATCCACAACTGCAATGGCGCCTGACCGTATTCTGCCATCGCTTTCCTGAGTTCAAAAGTGCTTTCATGAAGCCAAACTGTTCCATCGCGTTCACATGCGTCCTGGGCTCAACTTCCTGAGGCCCATGTCTCCACGGAGAGCGTCTCTAAGATAGCCGTAGCTTCTGTCCGCATGGCACATGTCAACATGTTCACAACATGTTCACAACATGTTCACATGCTCAAAAGTCACGCCCAAATGTGGTCAAGGTGAAACTCGTTGCGCCTGTCCCAGTAGCGGTTCACCACATCCCTGACAGGTCGATGAAGCAACTTCACAAAGCAAACAGCACGCCCCGTCCTGGCGCAATCCTGCTCACTCCTCCAGTCACCCTGATACTTGGCCTGGCACAAACAAGAAAGCATGTCTCAAAGTCGGAGACAAAGGAGAGAGGAAACTGTCTTGCATGGTCTTAAAGAGCTTTGTTCAGTTTCCCTTTGTGCCTTCTTGGCCTGTCTTGTGCTTCATGCAATGCTTTCTGTGACCACTTCCATCCAGGGTCCGCGCCCCCAGTTTGCCAAGCAGGTCGATGACAGACATCTGCGGAATTCCGATGGAGGCCACCAAGTTTAGACCTCGCCATCTGTGCAAATTGCAGCGACGCAGCGACGCAGCGACGCAGCGACGCGGCAAGGAAAAACATTGCGGTGCCATGCAAGGAAACATTGTGGAATCTGAACATTTGGCGGTCGCCTGGACATGATCTCAGTCCCGAAGCTGTCCCGCCCAAAGCCGCGCGTTTAGGTCCCCAATTGGCCGAGCAGCTGAGGGTCGTTCGCGGCGGAGCAATTCCTGACGAAGACATGCCACCATTCACCACCTCCACTTGCCCGATGTAGCCAAACCACATCTCGCCTCAGACTCTCAGCTTGTTGCTTTTGCTTGCTTGATTTAGGGTGCAATATGGGATGTGGTTGTCACCTAGTCCACTGCGCTGAAAGCCAGAATCTGACCCCATGTTCACTTTATTTCACTATCCTCTAACCCTCATACAAATGTCTGAGCCTTTTACAATGATATTTGTCCAACCTTTCCTTAATATAAATCTGGTTAAAAAAAGAAAGGGGCCCCATCTAAGCTTTTCGAAAAATGAGAAGAACAAAAAGTGTTCACCTCCCGCGTGCTTTTCCCACTGCAAAATTAGTCTTGCCAACACCTGATCTTGGATTGCTGCCAATACTAAACTTAGAATTGATTGCCGATTCTAATTTTTTGGCATTCTGACCACCAAGCTCAGGATTGCTGATACGTAGCCTTTGCCAAATACGAGAATGTGGTTTGTCTGTAGTTCTGTCTCCCACGCCCCTGGAAGCCTCCCCAAGCATTGGAGCGAGGGAGTGTTGCAAAAGGTCTCCCTTTCCTGAAGTCTCAGATCGTCGCGAGAAATCGCACGCCCTACGAGTTCTGGGAAAGACAAGCAGACATGGAGAGCGAGAGAGGCAAGAGAACCGAGACGCAGTGAGTCGCAGCGAGTCGCAGCGAGTCGCGCGCCGCGCGGCCCTCGCTCCGAATGAATCCGAGTTGCCGAAATCCGGATCCGTTCCGAGAGAGCGGATCGATATCTCCGATTTCGCATTTCGATCGAAGTCAAACCGAAACCAACTTGAGAACTGCAACTCGATTGCGGAATCTCCGCATTCAAGCATCGGCTCGAATTTTCGCAGTTTGAGTCGAACTCGCGCTATTGGCATCTGAGAGCACAAGTATTGGCCATGAAACTAGTGGGGGTCTAAGATTCAGCATATCAGCATTATATTGATTCAGCAGTGGAAACCTCAGATCGAGTAACGGCAATAAGAGGCAGAGTTGCGAATTCGGCTGGAGGAGCCATTTCATTGACCAATAGACCAGGATTTCAATGTATCAAACTCGATTGCAACAGCCAAAACACATTGCCTCCCTGAAAGCATCTCAAACCAGTTGAAATCCCCGGCAGCTGAGCCAGGTCAGCTATAAATGAGATAACCTGCTTGGAGCTGCGGCACACTCTCAGGCTTATGGTGATTGGGAAATATCTCCAATCAGAAAATAATCCTAACATCAAAATCCGAGCCGCGTCCGTACTTGAGCGGGAAGGCATCGCAAATGAGCCTCTTGTCGGGGCAAACCACCTTGCGGCCCTGAGCGATGAGCGCCTCCTTCTCCAGCGCAAGGGTTCGGATGGCCACCTGCGCCAAGACATGAGCCAAATGAGAAAAGATAGAAAAGATGCAAATCCGCAGATTTGACATACGCAGTGCATCGAAATGCGATCTCCGATCCCCACCTGCACGAAGCGGCGGTGCTCGGACATCGCCTCCGAAGCCTCCTCTGCACCCTTCTCCTGAGTTGTGCTGAGCTGTCAATGCAGATCCGCGAGCCAAGCGGAGTCTCGCCTGGTCCTTTGGCTTTGCAAGCCAGGCGAGGTCAATCTCTCGGTCCTCAAACCTCACCTGAAGCAAAGGCCAAGGGCAAATGCAAAGACCAAAGCGCGCAAAAAGCGCGCAAAGAGCGCGCAAAGAGCGCACAAAGAGCGCGAGAGCGCGAGAGCGCGAGCGCCTGTATCGCCACTTTGAAAGCTTTCTTGCCACTGGACGCAGGCACCTGCGTGAAGGGAGCAGAAATCTCTCTCGCGTAACGTTTCCTGCCTCCAGCTCTTTGCGCGCGTCGCTCACGCTTGTTACTGACTTCCGAGTGTAGAGCAAGTTGTTTCCTGACATTCGCTCAATCCGCAGGGCCTTGGAACCCTCCAAAGTTGCTTTCTCCCTGCATCATGTTGTTCATGTTGTTTTTCTCTCTCTCCCTCTCCCTCTCTCTGATGCTGCAGCTGCAGCGACCATCGTGCAGCCAGTCCGTCGCGGGCACATGGCTCATAAAGACAGCCACAGCCTGCATTCGGATGGCCTGGCGGAAGTGGGGCGCGAGAAACATGTCATTCGAGGCTGTCCTTGGGGAGCTCCCTGTCGTCGTCTCCCTTTGCCTTGGGTGCTCTACCCTTTGTGAGGGACTCCTGGCATCCGTCTCGGCTCGCATCGAAGGCGGCTAGCCGTCGAAGCAATGTGCGGTCCTTGGGAGGAGTGGACTCCACTCGGGCGAAATCCACGCGCCAACACCGCCAAACCTGCCAGGCGCAAGGTCAAGCTCGCCACTTCGCGGACGTCCGGTCCGAGGCGTCCGAGGCTCGGACGGTCTGAGAGCCGGGTTTCACGGAGAGGTGGAAATGGTTGGCAACGAGCTTCATGGGAGCGCCATTCCTGGAAGGATTGCGAGCATGTTTACGCATGTGTCACACTCCGCGAAAATATGTTGCCTTCTTTGCCCCTAGCAGCTGACTGCCCAAGAATGTTGCGTTTCACTGTGAAGCCAGTCTGCAGCTTGTCGTCGCATGTGCATGCGATCAGGGAGATTGCAGATGCAAGCAGGCTCATAAGCTAGCACTTTCGTTTGGGAGTGGTTTTGCTGTTGTGACAGTGACAAAGCCAGGCTGTGTTCATTTGCTATGCCGGTCGCTGCCGATCTCAGATTCGCATCCCGGATAGCTGCAGCTCAAATTCTGGTTTTGTGCCACACAGTTTATGCAGGACCTCATGATTCAGAAAGCATAACGAAAGGTTCTTCCGTGCATTCTCCAGCGCTGGCCATGCAGAGAGAGCTCGCATGGACGATGACTCGACCGGGCGCTTAGCAGTTGGCCGATCAGTCCCTGCGACATACCCGGACGGCTTCAAGTCTGGCCCAGCCGGTGCCTTTACAAGCCGTCAAGCTAAACACCTTATCCAAAGCTTATTTTTAAAACTTTCTTCCCGTGTCGACAGCTCGTCGCGTTTCGAGTCTTCGCGTCTTTGGAGTGAAGATGAGCTGCAACTCATCGTGTCTTGGCCTAAGTTATCATCCTTCCCCACTGCAGCTTGCTCCGCGCTGCCTACTTAGCCGTCTGATCACTTCCGGCTTCCGATTTTCGGGTGCTGCCCCTTCGCCCGCTCCTGCCGAGGCTAAGCCGCGGCATCTCCAGCTGCAACTCGTCCTGCGCACAGAATGCCGCGGGCGGCCAGACTTGGGAGTCTCACGCCTGAAGTAATAAGAGCAAATATGTTGAACTTAACACTTGAGAGATGACCCGGGACTCTTTCCCACTGGAGAGCGGCTATCACATAGGCGACAGCCATCAATCCAGGCGATTGCAATCTTTTGGCTGCATTTGCAAGCCTTACTCGTCTTGGTTTTCCGCTATGTCTGTTCAAGGGTGCGCTGAATTTAGTCCTGGCTTCACTGGTTGCAAACAGGAAACAATTGCAGTGCCCAGGGCCGGGTCGGGTTCCTCCCATTGAAAGTGTAAGTGTGTTATTTGCAATCTGTGTCTCTGGACAACTTGACGTCGGATTGATTCCTTTACTCCGACACAGGACACCGGGGATTTAGCAAGTTGAAGAGTCGCAACGGAAGACTGGCGACATGTCATTGGACAAGAAGACGATAGAAGCAGCCGTGGCAGAAGAAAGAAGAAAAGGAAATTTCCCCAATTCTGTCTATTTGAAAAGTAGGGTGCTGAGATAAAACTCCAACTTTTACTTGGAAAAGGGCCCGTGCTGCATGGAATTTCTGCAACGCTTTGAGCTACTTTACGCTTCGGCTTCAGTTGCATAGTACGGAGGGGGGGGGTTGAACAGAATTGAATCTTCCATGTGGTGTCGATAAACATGTCGTGTTGGCTGCTTCATTGATTTCTAGGGACATTGGCAAAACATCCTGGATCTGAAACTGCAACATTCCTTGCCTGGCTGCCTGCAAACTCAATCTGTTGTCGTGTTGCGACTCGCCCTGCGTGCTTGCTGGCGTGCTTCACGCGGGATTTTGGACAGAGCAATATTCACAAGCGACTGTTTGTTCAATGCTCACAGAGCCTTACATACTATGAACAAATTTTGTTGATGGAAAACTCTATAAACGAATAAACCACATGTTTTGGTGCCTCGACTCGTAGCGTCGCAAGCGTGAATCGTTTCGGCGTATGAGATGCTTCTCAAAGCAATGTTGGGGCATTTTATATGTGACACGTCTTCCACATGTTGACACATCTTTGTCCCGAATATGAAACTCTCCAGCACTCTGCTTTCGGGGAGACGATATCATCTCGCAAGCTGTGGAGTATGCCTGGTATTCGGAGAGTGTTCCATGTGGAGAGGACACTCGATTGCCCATATCACAATGCCAAGATACCTCCGTAGCCCACATGTCAACAGCCTCAACCAAACAAGACAAAGGCATGATGCGGGCACCAGTGCTAACAAATGCCTCTCAAGCATCTGGCGATCGAGGACCCAGCTGTAATTGGGCGCACCAAGAAACTAACACTGGCAGCAGTGAACCATTCTTGCCCGACCACTGCCTTGCGCTCCCCTGTGCTCTATGCTTGCCCTTGCCCCCCCAGGACGGACAGAGCCACAATTCTCCTTCTGCTCTGCTGCATATGCCTTGATGGCTGCAGTCAAGGACAGTAAGAATCTCAAACCGTTGGGGGCTGGGCAGCTGCATCTGCCTTCTCAGCCGCCTCGTAGTCATCCGCGCCGAAGCGCGCCTGCAAGAGGCGAGATGCCCGACACGTGAGCCCACCAAGTCCCCGGCCGGAGCTGAGGGCGCAGATGCGGGTGGAGAGGCCGAGGGTGCCGGCGCAGGCATGGGCGCGGCGAATGCAGGGGGTGCTGAGGGCGCGGATGCCTTGCACAGAAAACAATGCAATATGTGCATGCCTGTGAGAACCCGCCTGAGGAATGCTTTTGCCCCATGGGTTCCCACCCTTGGCAACCCCTTCTTTGCCCATAGGTCCCTTACCCGTGTCTTTGCCGCCTTCCTTGCCCATGAAACCCTTGCCCATGTCTTTGCCGCCCTCCTTGCCCATCTCTTTGCCGCCTTCCTTGCCCATGGGGCCCTTGCCCATGTCTTTGCCGCCCTCCTTGCCCATCTCTTTGCCGCCTTCCTTGCCCATGGGGCCCTTGCCCATGTCTTTGCCGCCCTCCTTGCCCATCTCTTTCCCGCCTTCCTTGCCCATGGGGCCCTTGCCCATGTCTTTGCCACCCTCCTTGCCCATCTCTTTGCCGCCTTCCTTGCCCATGGGGCCCTTGCCCATGTCTTTGCCACCCTCCTTGCCCATCTCTTTGGCGCCTTCCTTGCCCATGAGGCCCTTGCCCATGTCTTTGCCACCCTCCTTGCCCATCTCTTTGCCGCCTTCCTTGCCCATGAAACCCTTGCCCATCTCTTTGCCGCCTTCCTTGCCCATGAAACCCTTGCCCATGTCTTTGCCACCCTCCTTGCCCATCTCTTTGCCGCCTTCCTTGCCCATGGGGCCCTTGCCCATGTCTTTGCCGCCTTCCTTGCCCATGGGGCCCTTGCCCATGTCTTTGCCACCCATGTCTTTGCCACCTTCCTTGCCCGTGGGACTCTTGCCCATGTCTTTGCGACCTTCCTTCCCAACAGAGCCCTTTCCCAGTTCTTTGCCACCTTTTCCGGCGCCCCACGCTCCCTTGGCTGCTTCCCTGCCGGAGTCTTTCCCGCCTTTGTTTGGCAGCTCTGGGAAGTCCTTCAACAACTCAGACAAAAACATCTAGCAGCAATCGCACAAGTCCTGATCCATAGCTTAGTCGCTGGCTCCAGTCCTGACAGGCTGGGGCGCGCGTGCGTACACACACACACACGCAAACAGGGACGTCAGACCACAACTGGTCTGCATTTCAACCGGCTTCTTGGCAGCGGAGGTACGCCCGAAGGTTCATAACTCAAGGGCCGGGAAGCGGTCAGACCCCTTCAAGAAAGGGACCCCTTTAAAACTCCGGTCAAATCCAACTCCGGTCGAATCCCTCTTGAAACTGGCCCTGGAAGCCATGTGGAAACACGCAGACATGCACCCGCCCTCTACCTTGGAAACCAGCTCGCGCAAGCACAAACATTCAAGAGAAAACTAAAGCACGGTGTGTACCTCAAAGCCAGCCAAAAGCGCACTGGCCGAGGCGGGCGACGATAAGTACTTGCTCAAGACACCCTCTCAGCACTGCACACGTGCCTGCCAAATGAACACCTGCTTCAGCGCATCACACTTGCCTGCTAGGGGGGATTGAGGGTCAAGGGTTTAGGATGAAGATAAGATTAGTGCAGGCCAGTGTTCAGCTATGTGTCAAAAAGTCAGAAACAACTAAAAGGCAGAAACACCACAATTCCAGAAACTTGCTAGAAAAACTAAACATGCAAAACAAATAAACAAGCTAGACGCTACAGAAGCCCGAAGAGCCGAAAAAAAACAAACGAGCTGCTTCAGAACGCCCAGAAGCCAAAAAGCTTAACCCCTGCAAACAATCCTTGTTGTCTACCCGGAAAATCGCTTCCTTGCCTTCTCCAAGAGCTCGGAAGCTCGGAAGCACTGGAGAGGAAAGCTGAGCCAAAGGGTGGCGGCAAGCTGTTGGATCCCGCATGCCTTGCCATGCCTCGCATTGCCAGCCTTCTGCCCCCCTCCCCGCTCAAGCGACCAGCCTCGAGATCCTGCATCGCGAGACTTGTGAAACTTGTGAAAATACAAAATCGGCTTTTTGCTATCAGGAAAAAACATATATATATATATACATATATATATATACCAAAAGCAAACCAATCCCCGGTCCCAAAGATCAGGGTTTCCCACACACCAGAGAACAACAACCAAAAGGGAAATACCAAAACAAGTAAACAAGTACCCGCAACCTTGGTCGACGATGAACCGCACGGGCGGACCCCACCAATCTGCCCGGGCCGATGTCTCTTTCTCCACCAACACGAAGGTGATCGACGCGGGGACCCGGCGACGCTCATCCGAGGCGCGACGGACCCGCAAACTTGAGCCAAACAGGTCAGTCACTACCGCGACATCCCTGAGGATGAAATGAACAATGGCTAATCACACCCCCTCCCGTCATATGACGGGTGGAGCGTGCCATTTACTGATAGGATTTAACTGCTCGCATGCGTCCGCAAACAGCTGGACACTACCGCCGTCAGCGGTGGAGCAAACCCACAAAGGCAGTTGCGCGACATCCCGGGCATTAAATTCCCGCCACCACCCCGAATTAATCGGGGTAACGCTGTCCAACATACCTTGTGGAAAAGTCCACATGACGACACTAGGTCACAACTGTTTGCATCAACAATGCAAGTAGTTCAAGTCTTATCACAAGCCATGAAACAAAGGAGAACGAATGTTCATCAGTACCCTCGCCTATCGGCAAGCAAGAGGTACCCCTGACCATGCGTATCTGAAAAATACTTGAATTCCGCAAACCTGGGAGCACCCTCCACCAGTTTGCATCCCCTCTCACTCACACTACTTCACGATGAGCGTGACCAGCAGCCGAGCAGCGGTGCGGGAGAGACATGATCTCCGCGCCTCAGCGGTTCGGAAGGAACATCATCACCTCCGCACCGCGCCAACCATCGGAGAAAGGACGCAAGCCTATCGGCCGCAATCCCCGTGACTCAGCCTATCGGCTATCGTCACGTCTCCTCCGGTCACGTCCGCCCCGCGCGCGGTCCCTGTCACGATCCCTCTCGGATCTCCTGCGATCATCTCGCCTTCGATCTCGCCCTCGATCGAGTGAATCATCACCACGACGATCTCGAACATCGTCCCTTCTTCGGTCTCGATCTTCGTCACGGCGCGGTCAAAATCTGCGCCTTCTCGATTCTCGGGAATCCCTGGTGTCCAGGGTCCTAACGGACCTCCGAGAGGGAGTGCGGGAAACATCCGAATCCCGACGCGTCCGTACAAGGCGAGAGTTCGCCACGATCTGGTTGAGAACCTCCAGCGCTGAAGCGTTCTCGCCATTTCTGATGAAATCCCTGACCTGCCAATTTAGCACCCTATCGGGTGACATCGTCAGGAAGGCATATTCTCCGGCAACACCAGGAAATGACCCTCCGCCGGGCTCGCAGCAGCTCGCTCTGCCGATTGCCGCCATCGCCTTGGAAGCCGTCAAGGGCGCTACCGCGTCCTTTACCGAAGACCTACCAAGCGCGGAGTGAAGATCATCTCCACTTGCCTCTCTCGCTGCCGCACCTGGCCGGTTGTCGACATCATCAGGTCTCTTTGATGCCTCCCGCTTCGTCGACTCCTTCACAGGCTCATCCGGATCCCAACGGGATTTCCTTTCTCTCTTCTGCCCCTCAGCTGTCTTCGATTCAGGAACTGAAGCTGCCTTCCCCTTCGGCTCGGCCTTCGGGACAGGAGTCATCTTAGCCTTTGCGCTTGGCCGGGCTCCTTCAACCGCTATCGCGACCCAAGTCTTCTTCGGTTGAGCAGGTGGATCAACCTCCATTGGAGCCGGCCCAGCGTTAGCCTTGGCTTTCGTCTTCGGAGCGGCAGGGCTATCGCCCTTGCCAGATCCTTTTCCTGACACATCGCTTGACTTTGGTTGTGGGTCGGAAGGACTATCGCCCTTACCACCCTTTTCACCCTTCTTCCCTTTTCCTTTCCCGCCCTTGATGATCGGCTCCTGCTTTGGACCAGGCTGTGCAGCATGATGCACCGACTGGAGCTCGTCAACGTTCGCATCCAACGGCTCCGTCACCCTATCGTCACTAACGTAGACGAATGGGTCACGGAAAGGGGCAGGAGGCTCTGATTGCCCAGCATTGATTGCCTTCTACACTTTGGCTACTGCCTCCCTCAATCTTCTCTTCTCGTCGTACCCCGTCGCCGAGACCATGTAGTTCCTGAGGTCCGCCATCAATTTATGGCTAGCCAGGATGTCTGCATCCTTCCTATGGGTCGGATACATGGGAGTCAGGTGACCCGCAGCAGCACCAATCACGTACGCCATCGGGATGTAGAAGGACAAGTACGTGTCATGACGGGCGAACTTCCTAACGGAAGTCGTCATACGTCTTCCCCACTGGGCCGCATGCACCGGACTCGCTCGGAAGTACTCTGTCACCGACTCAAATCTATCGACCTGGTTGGTTTTGATCAGGTGCTTTGCCACCCGCTTCTCCACAAACGCATCCGAGGCCGAAATGCCTGACACGTAGGAAAACTGAAAGAGCACCTTTGCCAGTTCATCCCACGCCGCATCAACTCCGCCCTTATCCTCCCCGAGATAAGGAGGCAACCGCATGCCGCTCTGCACCGTCATCCTCAGGTCAGATGCCATCAAGTAGGAAATCAAGTTCCTCTTGATAACCCCGACCACATCGGAAGCGATCCTCTCGGGTTTGAACTGTCCCATGCTCTTCACCCAGTCCGCGACGATGCGGCTCCCCGCAAAGTCCTCCTCGTCCGCGTTGGGGATGAAGTTCGGGTAGAAGACCGGGAGCGCACATCCAGGGCACAAGTGCATCCCAGATGGTGTAATCTCCGCGCACCTCAAACAGAAGGTGCCGGTCACATTCAACCTGACTTCCACACGCGCCCGCTTGTGAGTCCCCCTATCGGGAGTGAAGTCACCGTAGTCCCAAACCCGATGATACACTATCGTGTAATCATCGAACATGTACGCGGCCTTCCACGCACCCATGTGGATCTCGTCCCGAACGGCAAGAGTCTTTCTCCTCGTCAGAAACACAGGTCCAATCAGCGACCAATGTACCCGAAGGTCCACCATGACCACCACGTACCTACCTGAGTAGTTCCGCAGCCTCCCTGACGTACCACGAAGGCGATACCTCGGCATCGGGTCGCATAGCCTCCATAATTGGAACCAGGCCCTCATCCGGTCTCCCATCTCCAATCGATTCGTACTCGTCAGGCCTTGTGATCAATATCTCGATCATGGCCTTTCCATTCCGCCTCACCTTTTGGAGTTGGACCGCCTTCCTGAAATCCAAGAACTTCATCACGACGTACCCCACCATAGGAAGTTCCCCCCAGTGCATCTCATACATCAGAGACCCGCCAGGAGCATCCCCTTCAGTATACCTTTGCCTCACGGCACTGAAGCTCAAGCCCCGTCCGATCCGCGTGAACCTAACGGCCACCTGGTGTATTCCTTGAGGAAGATGCCAGTCTCGTCATACATGAGCAGTAGCATAACCTCAACTTGCCCTCGGGAAAGCCTTGATCGCCGGAATGAAGAATTTCCACGACATCTCAGCGTTCTCCATTCCCGTGATCTCCTTCAGGAACCAGACGGCCTGATCAACATTTACCCAGTTTCCAGCCTCTCGTCCAGTCTCCTTCTCCTCGATTAACTCCGAGACCCTCTTCGAGTTAATGACCAAACCTTCAAAGTCACACGTGAGCAGCTTCATCAAAGCCTGGGCGGCCTCCCGCCCCGCGATCGTGGCCGCTGTCTGGCCATAGTCCGGAACGTACTCGCTCATCCTATTCTTCGTGGGGACCACAATCTGACACGTCCTAGCCTCATCAGGCACAAGTCCAGCAGATCGCAGTTCCGGTCTGATCAGCTGCCTATCAGCAAGATAATCCTTCTTCCCGTCCAAGACCACGAGATTGTACGTCATCTCGCTGGCCGCATCACTCGGGCGGAATTTCCTGCTCACGTCAATCTGGTTGGGGGCGAAGGGCTCGATTGGAGCGGTCGCACTCAACGATGGTGCCCCTCGCCCGAAGCACAAATGCTTCTTGTGAAAGTTCACCATCTCATTCAGCTGCGTGAGGGCATGGGCTCGATCCTCCAGCGACGCACTCTTCATCCCAGCCTCGGTGAGTGGAGCTTCAGGCTTGTCATAGCTCGCCTTCCCGCCCCATCTGGCTGCAACCAGCTCAGCAGACTTCGCAGAGTCAACCAAGTTACCCGACCATTCAGGCATGTTGCTCAGCTTCCTCGTCAACGCGTCTATCGACACCGTCAGGTCCTCAGTCGTTACAGTGTGAGGATCAACCGTCTCCCTGTCTTCCTGGCCAATGTCAGGAAGCCTAGCATCCCCGCGGATAGCCTCCATCGCGGCCCTCTCGGCCTCCTCAGCTTCCGCTTGCGTGGCCACGGCCCTGGGGATCAGGAGCGCTGTTTCGGCAGGCAGGGGCTTCTCCATGTCGATCGGAGTGTTCTTGGGAAGAAGCCTCTGATCATCTCCCTCTCCGCTGAACTGCCCGAGAAGTTGGTCATTTTGCTCGGGTCTGCCCGCCCAGCCTCAGTATCCCAAGGCTTGGGCTCGCCCACTCCAGATGGACCTTTCTTGGACACATCCTGGTCCACATCCACGTCGTCCTTCTTCTCCTCCGCCATGGAAAGTTTCCCTATGTCAGGAAGCGTCGCGTCGTCGTCCTTTCCTGACCCGGCACCCCTATCGAGGGCCGGCTCGGTCCTCCGTTGCCCCGATGAGCTCGCCTCCGGGTCCAGCTCGCCCTCGTCGTCGACATGCGGTCGCTTTCCCCAAACGATCTTCGTCTTCGGCTTCAGGGGAACAGCAACACCTCCAGCCATGTGGTGCCAGGTAGCTCCATCGGGCTCATCCTC